TAAGGAAGCCTGCCTTGTGGCCCTACAGATAAGGTTAGTTTCTGAAAAGAAATTAACGAAACTACAAAAGAAAAAGTACCGCTCTGTCCAAGCAAAAATTTTAAGCTACTGGGAACAGTACGCCTGCCACCAAAAGTCAACAGTTCAGCTTCTAAAGGCTTGTTCCCATGTCAATGGACCAATAGTTCGAAATTAAATAGGATAGGGGGGATTTAGTCAGTTAAGAGAATAAAAATGTAGCAAAAGAGATTGAGTTAAGTTTTTTAGAATTTGAATGTACGAAAAGGAAGGTTATGCCAGTTATGCCAGTTAAGAGAATAAAAATGTAGCAAAAAAGATTGAGTTAATTTTTTTAGAATTTGAATGTAGGAAAAGGAAGAATAATAATAATAAGAAGAAAATAAGAAGAAACTAAGCTGTAATGAAAGTGTAGGATAATGAATTACGTGTTTAGGAGTTGAGAATTCAAATATAGGAATAAAAGTATGAGTTAACTTGTTTAGAATTCAAATATTGAGAAATTGAATATAGGAAAAGGAATTATTAGTAAGTTAAGTTATGGATCATTCAAATGCAGGATAAGGAAGGTTCGAAAGGAATAGTAGTTGAACCATTTAGTTTGTGAAGATAGAAATGTAATAAGAAATTAAGCTGTAATGAAAGTGTAGGATAACGAATTATGAGGTATTATGAGAATTATGGTAGGATATAAGGGATTAAGTTTACCGAGCATTTGCATTTATTCATAAAGTTATTTATTGTAAAGTTAGATTTTAGTCTTAAGAATAAAATTGCTTTCTTTAAAACGGTTGTTATTTTTTTCATTTCGTTATAAGCTGTTATAATGCTCCAGTATAAATTACAGTGGAATACAGATTTTTGGAACCTCTGGGGGAATTGAAAATTGTTTCAAGAAATCAAAGGTTGAAATGAAGTGTTCGACTAAGAAAGGAAAGTTCAGATGAGAGACGAGAATATTTTCTGCAAAGACACATTTCTTATGATAATTTAAACACAAAGGCATAATTGTTACTAAGAGTTTGTAAATTGCATCCACTAAGATATCTGACATCAAGTTGCACTTTTAGTTACAGTTACATTTTGTAACACCATACAACTGTTGGTACTGACCACCTGACAATTTCCATCAATTTCCATCATGTGTGAAATAGTAAGACAACAACTTTTGTTTCATGTTTCGGTTTTTTCCCTAAAACATGGGGTCAAATGGTGTCCTTTGGACATAAAGGCCCTTACTAGTATAAACTATGAAATCACACCATCTTTTAGTGGCTCGTGCGTAATAAGAATGGTCTTCTTCAACAACATTTCTGTCTTTACCCGTTGTGGTGTACTCGTACACTCGTTTCACAAGCTCTGCTTTCGTTCTCAGACCTTTGCACAAATCACCACTGCACCTAACCCACAATCG